ACAAAAAATTGCTTCCATAATTGAACCGAGTTGAATTGTCATTCGCCAAAAATCAAAATTAGATTGGAAAGTGGAACCACTTTTAGAAAACCGGACCTACTTTGAACCCCGCAAAAAAGAAAATATTGAAAAATTATATAAAAAAAAACTATCCAAAAAATAATAAAAAATTGACCCAATAAATAAGCTTGATGGATTTTTCAAACTATGTGTAGTTATATGGTATTATTTCATTAAAAATTTCACACACACACATGTACATGGTGTTATTATATGTGTTAACAAATAATCTTATTATAAATTTATTTTTCATGCATATTATTATTTTTTGTCCTAAATATAAGAGCTAAATAAAAAATTTATTTTGGTCTTAAATATAAGATAACAATTAACTTTGTCTTTTAAATTTGTAATTTTCATTCAAAATATTCTTCTAAACTACACATACACCACTACCAAAAAAAAAAGTCATTTTCGTCTGTTTTTCAAAATAAAGAAAAAAAATGCTACTATACTCATCTATTATGACAGAACAGACGAATATTTTCACACATACTCGTCTGTTACGTTCTAACAGATGAATATGTGTGTTACATCCTAATAGATGAATATGTGTGTTCATACTCATCTGTTATGTTGTAACAGACTTGTTCATACTTGTCTATTGTGTTCGAACAAATGAGTATGTAGATATGTACTTGTCTGTTAAGTAACAGACAAAAAAAGTTTTATTTTAAATTTTGAATTTTCAAAACACTGTGCCATTTTTTTATCAGATTAGAACGAATCCTAGCAGTGATTTCTCTTTTTCTCCTCTTTTCCTTCGTAGTAGGCTTCCTCTTTTCTCTCTTCCTTTCTTCTCATGCAACAACCAACATTCTTCTATCTTCTCCTTCTTGACCGACGACAACTCCTCTTCTCTTCTCTTTCTTAGCGATGCTAAAGCTCAACGACACAATAGACTCCATGGCTAGCCTCTCTTTTCAATGGCAAATAGCTCCTCCTCTCTTCTCTTGCGTGCTTAACAACACTTTTTTCTTCTTTTTCCACCGTTTTAGCTTTGCAAGACACAAGGCAAGTTATGTGATTTGGTGTTGAATGTTTTGATTGTATGAGACTATTATATATGTGTTGAAAGTGATTATTTGAGTATTTTGGTGTTGAAAATTTTCTATTTAAATTGATTGTTTGTGAATAATAGCTTTTGGAAAGTAATGATAGTGATTGGAAAAAGTATACGAAGATTAAAAGTATATTAAACTTGTTTAAATAATAATGCACATAAGGTATTTGTGAAAATGTCCAGGAGAGAATTTGTTGGAATATGATTGTTAATTAAGTGTCCTCAATGTTTAATCTCCATGTTAAATTTTAGAAAGGTATGGGATTCTAAAAGTTAAAATATCTAATTAAAGAAGCTAGGATGTCATTAGACTTTTTAGTTTTAAACTTTCTTGTGTTATGTGACTGAGTTAAGGTGTATTTTTTTGTTAACTAAACTAATTTAGATGTTATTGTTGTTATTTGCTTTGACTCTTAAAATTATTATTTGTATGGAAAGAGTAACATAATTATTGTCATTGTTGCTTTGTTGTAGTTTTGTTTTATACATTTTAGAATTACATGTTATAGTAAAAATTGACGATGCAAATAATTTCACTTTTTTTTTATAAAAAAGGCCACTATATTCGCCTGTTCTAGCCAGAATAGACAAATATGTCAAAACAGATGAATGTGTGGCACCATATTCGTCTTTTCTAGGAAAACAGACAAATATGCAAGGCACATATTTGTCTGTTTTCCTGAACAGACGAATATGTGCCTTACATATTCATCTGTTACAAAACAGATGAATATCTAACTTCTATCTACGTTTTTTTCTGTCTATGTCCCTCCTTAAACAGACAAAAAAGGCTTCTAGAACAGACAAAAATATATCTTTCTGTAGTAGTGATAGTAAAGAGATTTTTATATATGTTAGTTTAAATACATATCATTAAAAAAGACATTTTAAGAAAAAATTCTTAAATCAATATACATTTATTATAAATAACTAACTTAATTGTTTTTTTAATACCCATAAATTAGTTATTTCATTTTTATATTAAGGACCAGATCAAAGGATATTATTTATACATATAATTATTTTTTATTAAATTTTATCTAATTATTACATGATTAGCTCGACTGTTGAAACTGTTTAAACCATGAAAATTGAGATCCATCAGCTTTTTAAGTTTGATATTTGGTTCAACTTTTGAAACATTACTTCTAAGTTGTCCAAATGTTATTTTCCCAAAAAATATATTGAATAGGCAAATATATACCTCAGCCAAGTTCAAGTCTTTCTTCTGGATCACATTTTTAATACTTAATACATCATCAAGCATTGTTGTTTTCCCTTTTAGTATAACTAGCTTATGTGTTGTTAGCATGCAATCTTGATTCTTGCATTATTTTAATGATAACAAACATTTTTTCCCTCTGCTAGAGGATAATATAGATACAATCCAACAAAAAATTAAATAGCATTATTTGTGATTAAAAAAAAAACTCATTTCTTTATATTGGCTATGGAAACTTCTTTCATATAATATTCTATGTCAACAATGCTAGGCTGTATAATCTTAGTATTTTATTTTATTTTATTGACCATATTTATATTTTCTTTTAGCAATATATGATGTCATGAATGATGCCAAAAGATCCTATTGCTAATCTATTTTATTGAAGCATTTTCCAAAGCACACTCGACTTCCACAACCATATCATTCAAAAACCACTAACGTATTTTTACCTAATTATTTAATAAAATATTTCATCTAGCTGACTAATTTAAATCCGAAGATTATTAGGCCTAAATTAAAAATTCTGTTGACATAACTTTTTTTATTTATAAAATTAAAACCTTTATCTTTTAAGAAACACCAAGTTCATTTCATTAAACCTAACAATCATATCTATAATTTTTTTCTCTTTTGACTGAGTCACTATATTGACTGTTAATAAAGAATACTTGGCAGATATTGGATTATTCACACAGCGACTAAATTTTAGTCAGTCAAACTGACGTGAAAAAAAATCTCAGTCTTGCGCATTTGGAAAGTTAATCACCGAGCACATAATTACTCTTTTACCAACTGATTCCTTTTCTTTTAATAAAAAATTCAGAAAGTATTTTCCATTCTAAGTGTTAAATAATTAATTACAGAAATTAAAAAATCAATTAAGTTATTTATTTATAAAAATATGTATTAATTATCTAAGGTACTCATTTTAATTATTTATATTACAAACTACTTCATCCATAAAAAAATCTTTTAATATATGTAATTAATATGAAGAGTTTAAAAACATTATAAATTTGAAAAAAAAAAGATTGATTACTTACATTTAGAAGGTAAGTTTTAGTTTTAAATATAAATCATTAATTAATATTTCTTATATAAGAAAAGTTTATCATTTTTTTAAATTAATCACCTAACTTGTAAATTGATGTATTACCTTCGATCCTAGTTATAAGGCCTAATTTATAGTCTACGAGGAGTTAGAGCCGGTGCCAGCCTGCCAAAAAAAGCGGGTTTGGGTTGGTATTTTGCCAGCCTGCCATGGTGTGGGCTACTCTAGCCTGCACCGTTTTTGGCCCGCTCCGCCGCGGGTTAGCCCGCCAGCCCGCTTTTTTTTTTTTTTTACTTTTTCTGATTTTTAATACATTATATAATATAGTTAGATGATTTTGACCCTCAAATTTCATATGGACATTACCTCATTTATATCATTATATATATAATTAATTAAACACTTCATATATATATATGTATGGTTATATGAAGAGCACTGTCCATCTTTTATTTTTATATCTATTTGTTGTTACTATACATGGCTTCATGAGATTAGATGAACATGTGATTCTCATATAGTCATACATACACACACATAAAAGATTTACTTAATTAATTTGGATAAGAAAACTAGTTAAATTAATTATTTATAAAAAATATATATGTTAGTTTTTCTTAAATTTCTTCTAATATTATAAATTAATTCTATTTTTTTTATTAGAACCCATTACTCAAGTTTAAAATTCGGAGCCTAATTTCAACATTTCAAATTAGGCTTAACTCATACTAATATAATAAATTTTTTTAAAAAAAAATTGGCGGGCTAGCGGGCTGGCCCGCCAACCCGCCTTGGCGGGCTCAGGCTGGAAAAATGCTAGCCCGCACCGCGGCGAGCTGGCCCGTATCAGCACCGCCAGCCCGCTTTCTCAGGTCTAACGAGGACTTATAATTAAGACTGAAGGTAGTATTATATAATGTTACATGTAATTATTTTAGAAAAGTACATATCTTATAATTAAATAATTTATCTAGCTTTCTCATTTTATCTAAATTAAATAAGTAACTCGTGTATTAACAACTTAGACTTGTTTAGTGTGTCTTTGTCCTACCCATTCCATCCTTGACCGGATAAAAAAGACTGGGACGAGAGAGCTTAAAATAAAATTGGAAACAGAATCGACGGGGGAATTGTGTTTAACCCAAAAAAAAACGCTAATCCCTCATCGTAAAATGAACTAAGATTGAAATCCTTTTTAACAAAAAAAAAATCTCATATTTAATGTCGGATAATGCTTCTAATAAAATTTCTTGGAAAGTAACTATGGTCTATGGGCAGGAAACAAAGAGTGGGAACGGAACGCCAGAAGGAAAGATCCGTTGACTTCCATCTAGGAAGTTGAGTGGTTGCATCGTGCCGGATGGGGGATTTAAAGATTTTACAACCAACAAATCATGTTATTTGTGTGGGGCCCACAGGGGAATTAACGTCTCTGACCCGCCAAATATATTTGACTTTGAAAAGTCCAAGTTCGGATTTGGAAGGAAAGCCAACATGCGACCAGAATTTTCGTCCTTTCAACTTTCAGGATCTGTGTAAAACCCGACATTGCAGACAGCTGCAACCATGCGATAATGCGTGCGTGAACGTGATTCACTCTTTCTCCTCGAACTCATCACCCAATCCTATTTCCTTTTCGAAATCACTACGAGAGGAGTGAAATTCACATACCCAGATGAGAAATTCAACTCCATTGTTCTGTCTCCGTGTCCCCCTTAACTACTTCTTCTTCCTTCTCTTTCTGAGCTGTGCGAATTCTCAGTCCGAACTCTATGATCAAGAACATGGAGTTCTGCTGAGGATGAAACAGTACTTTAAAAGCCCACCTTCTCTCAGTCACTGGACACAGTCAGATTCATCTCATTGTTCATGGAAAGAGATCACCTGCGACAACAACTCTGTTACAGGGCTGGCTCTGAAAGAGATCAATATCAGCCAACCGATACCAACTTTCATCTGTGAGCTTAAAAACCTCACTTCTATTGATTTTCAATGGAATTTCATTCCTGGGGAGTTCCCAACTTATCTCTACAACTGTTCCAAGCTGGAGTACCTGGACCTTTCTGATAATTACTTCGTTGGTAAGGTTCCAGAGGACATTGAGAGATTGGCTAGCCTGCGTTTTCTTAACCTCAGCGGCAACAACTTTTCAGGTGAGATTCCGGCGAGCATCACGCGGTTAAAAGAGCTCAAAGGTCTTCAGCTTAATTACTGTCTATTTAATGGCACAATCCCAAGTGAAATAGACAACCTATCCAATCTCGAAGTCTTGAATTTGGGCTTCAACCCATTCTCTCCTTCAAAGTTTCCTTCTAGCTTCACCAACCTCACGAAGTTGAAGCATTTTGAGATGTCTGATTGCAACTTGAGTGGTGAAATCCCAGAAAGTATTGGGAAGCTGGTGGCCTTAGAGATGTTGGATTTATCCCAAAATCAGTTAAGCGGCAAAATTCCAAGTAGTTTGTTTATGCTGAAGAATCTCAGCATAATGTTTCTTTCAAGGAATCAGCTTGATGGGGAGCTACCTCAAGTGATTGAAGCCTTAAACTTGACCATCATTGATCTTGCTGAGAACAAGCTTACAGGAAAGATACCTAATGGCTTTGGAAATCTCCATAAGCTAACTGGTTTGAACTTGGGCCTTAATCAATTATCAGGTGAGATTCCCGAAAGCCTGGGCCGTCTTCAATCTATAATAGATTTCGGCGTCATCTTCAACCATTTATCAGGTAACATTCCTCCAGAGTTTGGGCTCCATTCAAACCTTAGAAGATTTGAACTTGCATCAAACAGTTTAACGGGCAGTCTTCCTCAGAATTTGTGTTACCATGGCAGTTTATTTCGGTTAACAGCTTATCACAACAAACTCAGTGGGGAATTACCGGAATCATTAGGAAATTGTAGCAGCTTGCTCGAGTTGAGGGTCGACAATAATGAGCTCTCTGGTGAAATTCCTACCAGCCTTTGGGCGTCTCAGCATTTGTCACGTTTCATGATCAATGACAATAAGTTCACAGGTGAGCTTCCTGAAACATTGCCTGTGAATGTTTCACAGATGGTAATTAGTTACAATCAGTTTTCTGGTAGAATTCCAGCGGGAATATCTTCCATGAAGAATCTGGTTGTGTTTAATGCAAGTAGCAACCTCTTTAACGGAAGTATTCCACAAGAGCTAACCAGTCTTTCCCAGCTAGCAACTTTGTTGCTTGATCAGAACAAACTTTCTGGGCCACTTCCATCTAAAATCATATCATGGAAATCCCTTAGAATTCTAAACTTGAGCCAAAATCAACTTTCTGGGGAAATCCCAGATTCAATTACTCGTTTGATTGACCTTGCACAACTAGATTTGTCAGAAAACCAATTATCTGGCCAAATTCCATCTCAACTAGGCCGTTTGAGAAATGCTATTCTCAACCTTTCCTCTAATCATTTGACTGGGAAGATTCCTAGTGAATTTGAAAATCTTGCTTATGCCACCAACTTTTTGAACAATCCTGGCCTTTGTGCTAACACAGATAAATTAAACCTTAAACTGTGCAATTCTGTTTCTGTCCCTCAGAAGTCACGCAAACGCTCATCCGTGTCTCTTGCTTTGATCATAGGCCTTGCTGTAGTAGCCTCCATAGCACTTTCCTTGTTATCACTTTTCATGATGAAATTCTACCAAAAGAGAAAGCGAGAATTGGACACTTCATGGAAGTTGACTTCCTTCCAGAAGCTAACTTTCACAGAATCAAAGATTGTTTCATCCTTGACAGACCAAAACATCATAGGCAGAGGAGGGTACGGTACAGTGTACTGTGTCGCTGTCAATGATAAAGACTATGTTGCTGTGAAGAAGATAAGCAATAACAGGAAGTTAGATCATAAGCTTGAGAATGCATTTCTTGCAGAAGTTGAAATCTTAGGCACTATTCGTCACATCAACATAGTGAAGTTACTATGTTGTATATCTAATGAGGATTCTTTACTTCTTGTATATGAGTATTTGGAACATCGTAGTCTTGATCAGTGGCTGCACAAGAAGAATGGCTCATTGGGTATGTCATCTGCAGTTCATGGTATTATTCTTGATTGGCCAAGGAGATTGCACATAGCCATTGGGATTGCACAAGGTTTGAGCTACATGCATCATGATAACTCACCGCCCATTATTCATCGCGATGTCAAAGTAAGCAACATTCTCTTGGATTCTCAGTTCAATGCAAAAGTTGCAGATTTTGGTCTTGCCAAGATGTTGATCAAACCAGGACAACTTGATACCGTGTCATGTGTGGTTGGCTCTTTTGGTTACATTGCCCCAGGTAAATAATGCCACAAATAATCAAATACGTAATCTATATATAATAGGCAGTTGTACTGCAGATATGCTATGAGTGATATTATTTTAGATTTCATAAAAAGCATGAGCCTATATTTTACTTTGGGAAAATTAATCTCTAGGTCTATATAGTTTTATTTTATTTTTCATTAAGTCTCTGTAATTTTTTTATCAGGTCCTTACAGTTTCACTTAATTATAGTAAGGTCATTATTGTCTTTTTTTAATCAGGTTTTTCTAGTTTCACATGATTCTTATCAAATCCTGTAATTTCAGATAACTGATAAAAAAAAAAACTACAAAGACTTAATTAGAATCATGTGATCCTATAAGAGCTTGATGAGAAAAAAATTATCAAGTGTTGGCAAAAACCAATACCAAGTCCTCATGGATTAAGTTTCTCTTCTAGTTTTCAGTGAACTATTTGGCCCTTGGCTTTGTATCTAGTTGTAATCATAGAAAAATTAGTAAATATGCAGTTTAGTCCACAAAAATCACAAATTTATTGCTTGTTAGTCCTTCCCTCCTCTTCTGAGTCACCTAACAGAAAGACTAATAAGGGATGCTTAGTTTCAAATTAGTTTTCTTTCCTTTTAAACTACACAAAACTGATATGAATGCTATGTGAAACATATTGAATGTGCAGAATATGCTCAAACGAAAAGAGTGAATGAAAAGGTTGATGTATATGGCTTTGGGGTTATCCTTCTGGAGCTGACAACAGGAAAAGAAGCTAACTATGGAGATGAGTACTCGTCTCTTGCAGAATGGGCATGGCGTCAGATTCAACTAGGAAACAACATAGAACAAGTTCTAGACGAATATGTTAAGGAAACTTCATACTCGGAGGAAATGTGCAGCGTCTTCAAGCTTGGGGTGATGTGTACAGCCAAAGAGCCGGCTGGTAGGCCTTCCATGAAGGAGGCTTTGAATGTATTGCTCCGCTTGAAAGAACCATGTGGTTATGTAGAAATGAATTTTGGTCATTTTGATGATGTTCCTCTCCTAAAGAATTCCAAAAGGGAGAGTAGGTTAGACATTGATAATGATAGTTAGCGAGATTTATGTTGTGTTATGAAATGTTGGGGCCTGAGATGGCTTATAATGTGCCGTAATTTGTAAATCTCATATCATTTTTGTAGAATGAGTTGATAGAGGATGTAAATATATGTGAGAATTACATCTGATCTTAGATCAACTGTCTCTTTTCTCTCTATCTCGTCTACTCCCTCCTCTCTTGTGTAAGAGCTACAAGAGCTGAATAACTGATGTAGATTAAAAAAATTAATTAAATTTGTTATTTGTAAAATATTTGTATTGGTTTCCTTATAATATCTCTTTTAATCATTTCTATTATTCATAAAAACTCTTTTAATATGTGCAATTAATAAAGATAATTTGGAGAAAATATTACCACCCCTCTTATCCTTAATATGAGAGTTAGTTGGTGGTTAGATTTGGTTCTAAATATAAGACTTCAATCTATTTTACATCTCATTTTTCCCAACATATCTCTATTAATTGTGAGAGGTTCCAGCAAAAGGTATTCCAATAAATATAACTAAAAAAGATAGTTTAGGGTTGTCAACACACATTTATAACAAATAACCAACTAAATTAATCTCCTTCATATCCTCAAATTAGATATCTAGTTTCTATATTAAAGACTTGATATATTATAAATTTGGAGGACAAAGTAGATGGAAAGTATTATATATTTAGGACTAAAACATACTTTTTAACTAACTCCTATATTTAAAATTGAGTGGAGTATGTATACTTATACATACTTTTTTTGTATATAAAATATTTGAATTTGAAAGTCCTGTCTTATTTCTAAAATAAGTAGAATTGTGATATCAATGATTATCAGTTATATTAAATATAAAATAAAAATTATAACGAGTTATATTAATTATTCGCAAATTATTAAGGGAAAAAAAAAACCAAACCCAATCAACCAGTTCAACCAGAATCGTGAATCAGCCAGTGGTTTGATATAGTTAGAGTGCTGGACAGGCCAAAAGTTGAAATGGTGAAAACTGATGTAAATCGGTTTAGATGATTATATTACTATCGGTCCTACTTTTTTTATTCTGCTCCTAATATATCAATCACTATAGACTTGAATAAATTTTAATGATGATTTTGGTTTCAATTATTATTAATTTTAGCTATTAAAGAATCGTAAAAATCCAAATCCTCAATATTGTTATACTTTATTATTGTTACGATCAAGCTATTATTGTATTTTCTTGTATTTTGTTATTAGTTATTGTTAATGTTGTTGTATTTTATAATTTTCAATTAAATGATATTATTTTAATGTGATCAGTTTGATCTTGAATTGATCCTAGTTTAACTTACTAACCTTTAAATCACTACCTCAACCAATTTAGTGTTTGATCCGGTTTTTTGCTCTTCACAAATTATGCATAGTACGTCCCATTTTTCCACATTTTATATAGGAAAGATGTATTTAATCTATTGGTAAAATGGTTGTCCTTGGGATTGGGTTTTATATCTTTAGCAAGGACCAGATTTTCAAGAGATTATTTACCTATTATGGTTAATCAGACATGATTATATTACACTAAAAATCTAAAAATATATACTTACAGTGGAATGGTGATTACCATGGGAGATGTACGCGTGATCTGAGGGCACTGATATCATTTTATGAGCACATTTATCTGCCTTGAAGACCCCCACCCGTAAAGTTTTGAAATGAAGATTTATCTCAGTTTTCTCAAAAATATTTAATGTGAAAAATATATTTTAAAATGTAGTAATATATTTTTCAAAGATTAGTTTTGCTATTTGACAAAATTGGTGATAAATCCCTTATTAAAAAATTAACTAACAAATGGTTCTTAGAACGATGGATTGCACAAAGAAAAATAAAATGCGCATAAGGAAAGTTGAGTTGCACATAAGGAAGATTATTTGCAAAAAACATTATTCGGATACAAGGGGCCAATTTGCATATGATAATGATAACTTGCATATAAGAGAAGATGGTCACACACATGAGAAGTTTGGTTACATGAAAAGAAGATGTGACACAAGAAAATATAAATTGCATATAAGGGGATATGGATTACATATAAGAAAAGTTAAGTTGCATACTAAGAAAGTTAAATTGTGCAAAATCTTTAGCTATCATTTACCAATTAAATTCTCAATTAAAGATTTATTCCTAATTTTTCCTTGTTCTTTTTGTTTCTTTTTTTTGTTTTTTGGGCTGTCTCTGGTTGCCACTGTTCTATTTTCTTTTGGATACTTTGTATTCATTTTTTAGTATTAATAAAATGTTGCTTTTGTTAGAATGTCGTAACACATACTAAGAACTAAGAAGTTTCATTACAATTACCAATTTATGTTTAGGCTTTAGTCAATTACGAGGCAAAAGCCCAGCTAACTTTATTTTATTTCTAAGTCATATTTCTAAGTCATAATACTAAATCTTTCCAAGTCATAGTACTAACTTTTTCATATAAATGTATAAATTTACAAGTCATGCTACTATTTTTTATATTTAATATAAGACCTAGTTGACTAATTTAGGAGATTGAGAAATTTGGTTAAGTTAGCTATTTATAGTAAATAGATTATAGATGTTGCCTTCCTTAAAATACCCTATTAATCATATATGTTTGAATTACCTATTGATGCTCATTTCTTAACATATGCAACTAATATAAAAATTGTTTGAGGGCAAAATAGATAAATATTGGAGACAAAATGGATTGAGGTCTTATATTTAGGATCAAATTAAAAATCAAACTAACTCTTATATTAAGGACTGATAAGTATTAAATATTAAAACTAGGTAAAATTCATTAAAAACAATAAATATATTAAAAAAATTTAAAACATCAATATTTATGGAGAGTGCGAGTAAAAGAGAGAATGAGTTACAAAACAGAGAGAGATAAGAGAGGCATACAGTTAATTTCCAGTTAAAAAATTGAAGTTTATATATATATATATATTTTTTAAAAAAGATTAGAGAGAATATTGCAATCTAACAAGTAACAAACCACTTTCCAACCCTGGCAGCAAGCGGAGCTGAAGCTGACCGCGGTCTTGCTCAGGAACAGACTTATCAATTATCATAATCATTTAATTGCAATGGAGAAAACTAATGCCTGGGTTCTTGCCTTGCGGCGGAGACCATCGGTATCAATCAATTCTCTAACAAAACGTAACCAATATACTTTTTCAGTTCGAAATATAGAAATTATTTTATAATATAATTTTAGGACGGGAGGAGTATCATTTTCCTTTATGAATAATTCGACTGGACTTATTTGAGGATATATATGTTTAATTTTTTAAATTACAATATCAGTGGTTCCATCCACGATGAAATTGTGATAGATGTTAGGAATGTTTTTCAATCACTTATAATAATTTAATTTAATAAGATATGCTCGTTTTGGATAAAATCAATTTTAAACATGTTCTTCTATTTAGTTAAAACTTATTTAATTTATGTTGAATTAAATATTAATTAAAGAAATATTATTTAGTTAAGCTAGATAACCTCACTAAATATCAGAACTTATAAGGGCGGCTTCAAAATCCACTATTCGCTGACGGTGTGATATTATTTAGACCCATTTCATAATTTGCAAGTAAACTTTTAAAAATTAGAGTTAATCTTCCGAAATTTACAACCTAACTTATAAAATTTACAGCCAACTATGTTACCAATCACAAGGGAAATTTTATCCATTTGGATTTTATAAAGATATTGGTCATTCTTTGTAAATTTTAAATTCATGATTTTTTTTCAAAATAATTAATTTCCTTCCATAATTCTCATGCACGATTCTTCAGATTGATCAGTCTCGCCCCTAGGTTTTGAAAAATCGGATTGGTCGATGAAGAAATTATTAGGATTAAATAAATTAATTTGAGAAAAATCACAAAAATGAAAGATAAAATCATAAAATAGTTTTAAATCTTATATTTAAGATAAAAACTACCACTTCTGGTTCTTTATAATTAATATAAGAACCAGTTAAATAATTTTAAAAAATTAAAAATTTTATTAAATTATTAAATTATTTTTTTCTTGATAAGACGGAAAGAGAAAACAAAACTAAAGGGAACTTAAGTGGTTTGCTTGAAGTGTAGCCTCCAGCGTCACAGGATCCAAGATTTGAAAATCTTGACTGATACTAATTATAACATAGGTCACGTGATATTTTTAAAATACTTATATATCTTATTAGATTATATATTAAATTATAAATGAGACAAATTAATTTAAAAAATAATAAATATAAATATTTTAAAATAATTTATTATTTTTTTAATCACTCTAAATTATTCCATTCTTAAGTATAGTGTTAGAAAATTTGCAAGCTGAGGAGTCCCAAATGGGTTGTTGGGTTGGTGCGCAAGTCAAGGTCTTCCACCGCCTCCCCTTACGTCGACATCTTTTGTCGGTGGAAATTTCTCGAACACACGCCTTCAGCTTCAACAAAAGCGGGCTCCTTCCCCGGTTGACGTTTTAACAAACCTGTGGGCTTCACTTATTGGGGGGGGGGGGGGGGGGTCCGTTCTCGTCAAACGCGAATTCCCAGTTGCTTCACAATTAACCATATTCATGGCTCTTGCGAGGGCGGATGTAGCCGATAAAAAATCATCTTATAATTTATAAAGTCATAAATTCGAATCCAACTAATAATATAAAGACTTTATTTATGAGTGATATATAAATCTTCCTTCCCTTCCTTATTATAGGCAACATATAATTCTATCACAAAGATTAAAAAGTTAGTTAAAGATGATAAATAAGTAAAAAATTGAAAAATTTTCTTCAAAATACCTTTATTCATGAGTGACAATAAATATATTGAATATTAAAATAAATAATTAATGGGGATAAAATAAAAAATTTACTACAAAAATTTAAGACAAATTAGAAATATTGCTTATATTTAAAAATAAAAAGAAAATGATAGTTGTTGCTTATAAAAAAAGATAAAGAAAATATCCTAAGTACTTTATTTTTGAGTTCTAGAAGGTACAACTACACAAGATTCAATTCACATAAATTTTCTTATAAGAACCTTTGAAGTCAAACTTGGGAGCGCTGAGATTCCATTCGATCCCTCTGTATCAGTAACAAGTATAAAAACTCCATGTTATCTTTCCTTCAAAGGATTTACTTTCTTTCTGCACT